GTATGTATATATATCAATATATATATATATGTGTGTATGTGTGTTTTTATATATATATATAAATACGTTTATATTATATATATAAATTGTGCGTGTGTATGTGTGTGTGTGTGTTGCGAAGATGCGTGTATGTGTGTGTGTTTCATAGATGCAAGTATATTCACTAATAACTGCGTTATCTTGATCCACGACCTCGAATAAAATTCAGGGTCTTGACACAGATTTGACAGCTGCTGCAGTGAGACAGTGTACTCAATCGCTGACAGACGATAAGGTCATCGCCGTGCCCACAGACACCATCTACGGACTGGCGACTCGTGCACAGTCCAGTTTGGCTGTGAAGAAGCTGTATGATATCAAAGGCCGCAACTTCTTTAAGCCTATTGCCATATGTGTGGCGAGCGTGCTAGACGTACAGAAGTAGGTGGACGTGAAGGGCAGTGGGCTGTGGGGTGGGTGGTGGTTGGGTTCGTGAATGTATGTGGACGTTGCAAGTGTATCCGGATGGTCCTGGTTTGTATAACTTGTGTAGTGTGATGCTGGGCGTTCTGTAAATGCATGTACATGCACGCACGATGATGGTACATCTACTCAGCTGAAGGTCTGTGTAGTGGTCCTGGTTTGATCGGTGCGTACGATGGAGTGGGTGCGCATGAGTATGTACGTATGTATGTATGTATGTATATATGTATGTATGTATGTATGCCAGTATGTATACATATATGTTTGTATGTATGTATGGCTGTATGTATGTATGTCTGTATGTATACATATATGTATGCATGTATGTATATATGTCAACTCAGACTTAGAACAGCAACCGCTACAGTGGGTCTAGGCAGCCATGTGGTCCTGGTTGTACTTCAAGAGGCATTGGGAAGCTCTCTTACTAGATCGATCTACGTATATTTGTTGCCCCGTTCGTATGTCAATGTGTATCAGTCTAAAGGTCATTATACACATGGAATATTCTTTATCACATATGAATATTCTATATACACATGAATTTTTTAACACAGGAAATTCTTTAAGCACATTTGCATATTTCAAACAACCCCCCGAGGCTTCGCACGCACTGGATGTAAGGGACCTTATCAAACTATCTCAGGATGTACGGGAGACGTCAATCCCCAGAAAACGCTCAAACACTTCTCTACTGCTACTACGGTAGTACGTGCACACCACCTTTTTCGTTGCGCATCCCCTTTCACGCATGCTAACACGCGCATACGCAACCAACCAATTACAACCCCAGATACGGAGATGTTAGTGAGTTGCCGCCAGGCTTGCTGGAGAAACTGCTCCCAGGTCCAGTGACAGTCATCCTGAGGCGCACCACAACACTCAACCCCGACCTAAATCCGTACACTAATGTTGTGGGGATCCGAGTGCCCGACAATGACTTCGTGCTACAGCTGATGAAATCGTAAGTACGCACCTGTACCGGGTGTAGGTATATATGGATCATTGCGTTAACGTATTGTGGCCTCAACCTACGAAGTAGTATCGTTATTTCCGTACTACTGCATACGTCTAAAAGGGAGTATGGGCGTGACCCGATGGACGTTTGAGGCAGTCCCAGAGTCTGTGATGCCCTCCAATGTTCTGCCGCGTACGCGTGCTACACTGATGAAGGTGGGCGTGAGAAGTTCAACAGTCCACAGTAGAGCACACTGGAGTGGCCCTGGCGTGTGCTGATTCACAGTAGAGCACAAACATGTGGGTTCACTAATGCTACCAATGTCAAGCAAGTTGGTTTACTGATATTACCAATATCTCAGATACCTGGGTGAATAGTGTGGCTACTACTGCCCCGACTAGAACCTTCGTGTACGGTGGTGACTACGAATGTTACGTCTATTGTTCATTCTATATAGTTGTGACTACTCTTATTCCGAACACAGCCTCCATGTATAGTTGTGACTTTTATATTCCATCCCTGTTCTGAACGAGACGTGCACGTCTGCGCTCCTGAGATACCATAGGGAAAATCTTGGTTTATGCTTATTAAATACCTCCTGAAACCCTAGTTTATGCTAACCTAAGCAAGGCTTTCCCGCAGCTGCGACAGTGAATTCGGACCCCTGGCGCTTACCAGCGCAAACATGGCTGGAGAAGAGAGTGCTGTGTGCGTAACCGACTTTGAGAAGTTATGGCCCAAAATCAGCTCAGTAGTCGACGGTGGCAAGGTGGGCGTGGCAAAGACAGGGTCGACCATAGTCGATCTAAGCGTCAGGGGGAGGTGTGTGAGCGTGGATATGTATTTATATTTGTATATATGTATATATACATGTTTATATACATATATATATATATATATATATATATGTTTGTATATATATATATATATATACTATTATATATATATATATGTGTGTGTGTGTGTGTGTATGTATGTAGGCGTACTTGCACGTTGTTTGCTTGTAGTCATACACGTATCTGAATGTGTGTGAGTGTGAATTTGTGACTACCATCTACATATGTTATAGTATGTGACTACCATTTACATATGTTATAGTATGTGGCTATTTGTGCATGGCATGCACTGCTACACACACGTGCACGTATTCATGCCTTTTGTATTGGTGACGTCAGACTGATTCAACAGTCCTTCCACCATACACCCAACAGACGACTCTACACTCAACAACTCGAGTGGTCCAGGAGATCACTCGCACTCACCATATCATACCCTCCACACTACTCGGCTACCTACCGCACCCGTACTCGTTACAGATACCGTATAGTACGAGACGGTAGTGCATTGCAGGAGACCACACAGACTTTAGAGGCACACGCCCTAACCCAAATAGACGGTGCAGAGAGTAAGCTCAACGCCGCCCGAGCGTACGAGGTGGCTCTGTTGGACATAGAGGGCACCACCACACCCATCACCTTTGTGCATGACGTGCTATTCCCATACGCCAAGGACAATGTGGAAAGGTATGGAGTGCTAGTATGGTTAGCTGCGTACTATTATTATCTACCTACTATCGTTATCTACCTACTATCGTAATCTACCTACTAACGTTAGCTACCTACTATCGTTAGCTGTCTACTATCGTGATCTACTTACTATCGATATCTACCTACTATCGTTATCTACCTACTATCGTTACCTACCTACTATCGTTATCCACCTACCATCGTTATCTACCTACTATCGTTATCTACCTGCTATTGTTATCTACCTACTATCGTTATCTACCTACTATCGGTAGCCAAGTGGAGGGGTGACTAGTCTGGGAAGGCGAGGGTTATCATGCATGTACACTCGGTGTCACAGCCGTGCATATCTTTCACTAGTCCTCATATGTACACAGTGCATGTGTATATCTCCCACTTATCCTTGTACATGCACGTACACTCATGGTTACGGACGCGACTTGTACTCCCCATTACATTCATACGTGAACGTTTTATGTCATAGCTGTGGCGTGTGGTGCGATAAGTAGTACGCCCATCTGTCTGATGGCCGATGCGGTTGTTTGTGTTGAATAAGTCGATAACATAAACGTTAACGTGTGCGCATGCACTTGCACACGTGGCCATTGACAAGACACCCATTACCATCACATGGTAACACGACAGGCAGTTTGTGTATTATAAGAATGATACGCAGAGTTAAGGCTGGTTGTTCTGTTTGTGTTGGATAAGTTGTTGCCATGCGACGGTGTACACACTCATTCGCTTGTAAACGCAGTCACTGCATCAAGCACTCTCCCATCGCATTCACCCGTGATGTTCTGTACTTGGTCGGTATAGCCACTGTGGCTGAGTGTGAGTTTGAGTAGGGCTTGTATATATTAGGTAGAAGTGTCTAGAACACCCCAGCCGGAGGATACCAGCTGTAGTATTGTGCTGCGTATGAGCATGTGACAGTGCCTTCCTAGAGGCTCAGCTGTATTGTCTTGATAAGTACGTGCTTGCTCTTCACGTCGTCTGTGAGCATGTGCCCGTATCTCCGTACACACTCAGCTGTATTGTCTTGTTAAGTACGTGCTTGCTCATCACGTCGTCTGGAGTATGTGTCAGTATCCCTGTGTATTGTCTTGTTAAGTACGTGATTGCTCATCACGTAGTCTGTGAGTATGTGCCCGTATCTCCGTACAGACTCAGCTCTATTGTCTTGTTAAGCACGTGCTTGCCCGTTGTGTGTGACGAACTGCATGGTGACACAGCCATCGGCCCTCGTAAACCGAGAGAGATGTCGGACAATGCCACAGCATACAACCCCACGTGGTTGTGTGTGGGGCTCCTATGGAGCTATGTACTCACACACACTTACGCGTGTTTTTGTTTATTTGTTTGTGTTTGTGTTTGTGTTTGTGTTTGTATTTCTATATTTGTGTTTGTGTTTTTATGTTTGTGTTTGTGTTTGTGTTTCTATATTTGTGTATGTGTCTGTGTCTTTGTGTTTGTGTTTCTGGAGATGTCTGGGTGCGGGTGCCCATACACCCGTGTTCACGGGCACGAATACTCAGGCGAACGTTATCATGCCAGTACACAAACGCACATCAACCACGTAAGAAGTACGGCGTATATACATACCCCCTATGTGTTAACCCACTCATGTGCATTTGGTCCCACAATAAGAAGTACAGCGTATATACATACCCCCTATATGTCAACCCACTCATGTACATTTGGTTTCACAAGAAGTGCGGCGTATATACATACCCCCTATATGTCAACCTACTCTATGTGCATTTGGTCTTCCAATAAAGAGTACGGCGTATATACATACCCCCTATATGTCATCCCACTCATGGGCATTTGGTCTTCCAATAAGAAGTACGGCGTGTATACATACCCCCTATATGTCAACCCACTCATGTGCATTTGGTCTCACAATGGGAAGTACTGCGTATATACATACCTCCTATATGTCAACCCACTCATGTGCATTTGGTCTCACAATAAGAAGTACGGCGTATACTCATGGGCATTTGGTCTCACAATGGGGTACGTAGGTATCTCAAAGCGAACTGGACGACAGCCGACTGTCAGGATGTTGTGCAGCAACTGCGTGTGTTGGCGACTACGGATGCGGAGAGTGGCATAGAGGGTGCTGTTACTATACCACCCACACCTACAGACACAACAGATGAGAAGAATGCAGAGTTAAGCGAGGTAGGTATGCGTGCTGTCAGCTGTGTGGTGTGTGTTCTTGTGTATGTCCTGCATGTGCGTCTACACGGTTAAGTGTTTGTGCTGGTAAATATACTTCCTGTTTGTAGAGCGTGCTATAGAGGGTGTTGTCACTACACCACCCACACCTACACACACGAACACAGAACTGAAGTGTATCGCAGTATGCAGCAGAGTATGTGTCCTTCGTCCCACTTGTTCAATAACATCATTTTGTAAACTCCTTTCCGCGCTGCTATAGGCTGAGACGTCGTGTATTGAGTGTGTAGTGAAGTCTGTGCGGTGGCTAATGAGTGCTGATCGCAAAGTGGGACCACTCAAACTACTGCAGGGCCGCATATGGACAGACGCCTACGCAACGGGCGAGATCAAGGGAGCGTATGTGATAGGATTATATATGTGTGTGTATACATATTCATACAGATGTTTATATTTATTTA